TCCGATAATCGGCAATTTGATGATTTTTGCGACATTTTTCCACGGGTTTGTCTTAAAAATTATATTGATATTTGTTTGAGAGCACATTGGTTATATATAGGTCCAAGTTTTCGTATAGCCCCCATATAAGGGTACCTCCCAATATTCGGTACTTTGATAGTTTTAGCCACATATTTCCCCCAATTTGTCTAAAAATTGGTATTTGTAATTTGTTATCCACTAGCGAAACACACGTTTTCGTATAGCCGTCGTATTACTTCCCGATATTCGGTATTTTGATGGTTTTACCCACATTTGTCTACGGGCTCCAAAAATTGGTATTTGTAGTTCGTAATGGGTTCTAGTTCCGGTGGCAGAACATTGAATATCTATAACAGTTCAGTCGGATATTCGGTATTTTGACGATTTAAGCCACATTTTCTAATAGATTTGTGTTAAATTTGGTATTTGTACTTTAATGGGTTCTTCAACCGGCTTCAAAATTGTCCTTATTTGTCCTAGTCATTCTAGTCATATTTACCCACGAAACTATATATAAGTTGGTATTTAAGACTCGCAATAGATTACAATCGTTGTAGTATAAAATTGTCTGTATAGGCTCCCGTTTTTGCATGGCCCCCATATGACGGTTCCAACCATTCTCCTACCGATCTTACTGGAGTTTGTAGTTTAAAGTGGAACACGTTTGAATCCAGATACTTTTGCATAAAAATGTTTTCTTTACCCATTGATGAAGGGTATTAGTTTTTTCCCGAACACCCAACACAATTATGTAGTAGAATATTATTGATTAACTTTCTTGATTCTTCTTAAAAAGAAAAAAGTGTCAGTCAGTTATGCCGACACATGTATACCCTCAGTCAATGTCTGTTAGTTTTTACCCTTTATGTGGGAGGCTCCGAAAGGGTTGGGCGTAGATTTGGCCTATATCGACCACTTTCTGTATTTTATATGAGATATGTAATAATTTCTGGAAAATTTACCAGATAAAGTAGGCCGAAGTATTCCACTTCATCGAATGCCGATAACAATATTGGGATGTGCAAAATTTTAAGAAAATCGAACACTCTGTAGAAATAATTGTTAATCAAAAGTTTAACCAAAAGGTTGGACCAAAGTATCTATTAGGTCTATAGTCACTAGAAATGTTGAGGTATACGAAGTTGAAATTGCTGACTTCTTTCGAATGCTATAAAAATCTTGACCCCTTGTGAGGTAAGTACCAGAAGGAGTTAGTCGATAAATTTAAAGAAATATTTACATAAACAAAGTTTGAAAATTATGGCTGACTTGTTTTGCATGTTATAAGGTATATAATTATTCAAAATGTTGAACGCTTGTGAGGGAGGTACCAGAAGAGGAAGGCCGATATGTTCCCCAAACCTAGGAAATATTGAAATGTGTGAAGCTTGACTTGTTCCAAGTTATGATCCTTTGTGGGGAGGTACTCAATGGAGTGGGCCGCTATTGTCCACTTTCACCCTGACCTTGCACTGACAAAAATATTGGGATTTTCAAAGTTTGCACCAAGATGGATCATTCGTACTTTTTCTATAGGGTAAGATATTGTCCGTGTAAACGACTCGACTCCAAATGTTCTGAGACGAATTTGATCCAAAAAGGCTCTAAAAAAGTTTTTTTTTTTTTTTTTGATGAGATACGTTTTGGTTGTATCAAATGATACGTACCTCTATAGCCATATGGCTAAGGGTATAAAAAGGAAAAACCCATCTGCTTTCGGTCGGTCAAGCTTTTAATGCTTACCACCAGAAGTAAAACGCCTAGTAGTATATTTGCATAAGTGCTGGGTATTGCTATTTACTTCATTCAGTATCCTACAGATTTGAGTCCAAAGTATTTAATAAAAGTTATTATAATTACTATATAGAACTATGATTTTGGCTTATCCCAGTTATCGGTACCTTTTTCAGAATTTCAAAGGAGGTGTTTTTACATCTTTTATAAACGCAATCATATGACTACAGAGGGTATATGACATTTGAATCAGACATTTGATTTCCAATCTATACTCGAATTCGAGCATCAGCATTCCTGGAAGTAGAAAATAGAATCGAGCGTACTTTATTTTGATGTCGCTCGAATTGAAGTTCAAAATATACTTTTGCAGCGCTCCCATATAAATCAAGAGATTAAAGAGTGTGCACTGTATAGAAATCCTACTCTTCGAACACGCGAGCAAGTTTCACTCCCAGTGAAAACGAGCAAATCTGAGCTCTTATATTACTTATGGGAAACCATATGACAGAGAGTATATGCGATATGATAGGTCTAAAAAAATTGTTTGGTGCTTTTAACTCCGTTTTGACCCCACCCTTATATATCATTATATTTCTATTAGCTTTTACCGGTTTTAAGATTGTTACACTCACAATTTTGAGTGTATTAAGCGAATAATTCAAAATATATATCCCATAGAAGAGAGTATCCTGCTTGTTCGAAATTAATACATGGTAATAACATTTTCCCTTGGAATATTGACAATATCGTTGCTATACATATGGTACCTCTCCACACAGGGTCACCTAATTTAAAAGATTTTCTCAAACTTTGCTTTATTGAAAAATGTTGCCAACTAAGAGCTAAAGCATATCCGGCATTCCTTCTATCATAAAAATTAAACATTTTCCAAACATATTTATATTTCAAAAATTGTATCCAAATATCAAACAAGTTAAAAAGCAGAAAGTTCGGCCGGGCCGAACTTTGAAAGCCCTCCACCATTTGAACGAATTTGGAAATTTTCAAAAAATCAAATCCGTTAAAAATTCTGTTAAAATTAGACAAATACCGAATATAGCCTTTATATTGAGGTCTATACGACGTGAATCTACATTGTCATTGTTGTCATAAGCCATTATCATATTCAAATTCGAAACTCGAAATAATCGGTGAATAATGTAGATAAATTAATCACCAAAATACCGTATATAGCGAGGTACCATTATATATTGGTTATACCAAAACGTGGACTTGCTCAGACAATTTTCTGTCATAGACTGTAATATTCATCATGAAGTTCAAATATCAAATTTCAAACAATTCCGGTGAATAATGTCGCTTAAATCATCAATATTCCGAATATCGGGAGGTACTGATATATGGGGTCTATACGAAGAGGTGGTCCTGCATAGACAACTTTCTGTCATAGGCTGTAGTATATATTACGAACTTCAAATACCAAATTTGAAACAATTCCGGAGAATAATGTCGCTAAAACCATTAAAATACCGAATATCGGGAAGCACCGTTGCATGGGGGCTATACGAAGACATGAACCTGCACAGACAATTTTCTGTTTTAGGCTGTAGTATCCATTGCGAACTTCAAATACCAAATTTGAAGCAATTCCCGTGAATAATGTCGCTGAAATCATCAAAATACCGAATATAAGGAGGCACCGTTATATGGGGGCTATATGAAAACGTAGACCTGTATGTCCCATTTACGAACATAACCTTCCTACTAACAAAATAATGCTAGGAACACAATTGGAGCGAACGACGAATTTCGCCCTACGCGGCGACAAAATGAGCCGCGAAAATTCGTCGTATGGAACACAATACCGACGAAATTATAAAACAGCTGATGAAGTTGTTTACTTTTTGCTCATTTGTTGACTACAATGAATTATACAAGAACACATAATTCTTTACGTTCTCTATTATAATTTCACTTGTGTCCATCTTCTCTATTATAAATTCACTGATATGCATCTTCACTCAGGCGCAAGTACACAAATAAATAAACAAATTAATTATGTTTTTTTTTATACGAGTAACAGATAGTAGAGTGACCATAACAAATTTTAAAGTAAAAAGTAACTTTATTTACTAAAACACATAAAATTCGTACAAGTATGGCCACCTTGTACTGTTTTGTTCGCCGGTCGCCGGCGTATGAAATAGAAATAAAGCTAATTGATTTCGCGGCGACCGACGAAATTTTCGCCGGTTCCGTGATTGTGTGCACTTCCATATACACATATGTGTTTTATTTTTGACGACGAACATACGCCGCGAAAAAATTCGTCGTTCGCTCCAATTGTGTTCCTAGCATAAACATGTCTGCAAATGTTAGCTTTCTATCTCGATTCGTTATTGCTGCTAATATGTGATCTGTTGTGGAAATGGAATTTATCAGCCAAAAATGAAGTGAAATGAGTATCTGATGTAGTACTACCTTGGTACATTGTTGAAATAATATCATGCCAATATCGGCTCAATACTCTCGTGACTCCCTTAGGGCAATATCTTAAAAACTTATAATTTTCGTGAAAATATGAAAAAGTATCCCAAATGTACATCTAGTTTAAAGCTAGAATCAATAGGTCCATTCACTTAGGTTATTCCCCAGTCTAACTTTTAAAAAATCATGACTAAAACAGTGTTAGCTTTTTTGTTCGGGATACCATAGTATTTTGTTTTTGAAAAATTTTTAATTTAGAGTTTTAGTAGGGAAAGCAGTCTCTTGTTGGATTGGCCTGGCAAGCATCTGTTGACATAGCCATATTTGACTAATGACAACGAATCTCAATTTTCTAGAAACTCGGACTTTGTTTCGATCGTGTACATAACATATTTTTCAAATTAATTATGATGAAAATGTTAGCAAAAATCATGTCGAGCCATCAAACTGAATTCAACAGGTCACTCCAACCTACTTTAACATCGAACACTAGCATCAAATGACCTCTTTTCAATATCTTTTGAACTACTTTTTTGCTGTTGCTGCTGCTACAAAGATGAAAAATAAGCCTTGTTATGGTCAGCTGTAATTGATTTATGTCTAACCGTTCATTTGCATAGAATCAGTCACTTCCAATGCCAACTAGGCTATGCTGCTGTTGCTGAGGTTGCAAATGCCTAGATTGCCGAACAAAAAACAGTGTCAGGAGGGCAAATATAATTATCATATTCAAGATATCTTCCAACTTGCTAGTGATTACAAAGAGAGGTCACAGTAGAATGTGGTGAACATACCTGGTCCGGTCGTAGTCCCGGTGGTACCCATGTATACTCCTCCAGAGCACAACCACTGTCATCATCTGAATGCGATTGCCGTTGGATGTCTAGGTGTTGGCCCACCATAAAGGGTGCATGAAAGCCACCCGATGGATGGTGTAACAGGGAGGGCGGTGATGGTGAAGAGATGGCCGGTGATAACTGATGGGTTTGTTGGTGTGGATGCTGTTGCTGTGTTTGCTGCTGCTGCTGTTGTTGTTGTTGCTGATGTTGGTGCTGATGGTGATGAGGTGGATGCTTGATCGATGATGAGGAATACTTGGAGATTGATGACGATGCAGATGCCGCAGGTGAGTACTGTGATGGCTGTTGCTGTTGGTGGTGATGTGGCAATGAGGCTGATGTTTGCTGTGGCTGATGATGCGTCTGTAGATGTGGTGGCAGATACTGATGGTGGTGATGAGGATGTAACTGCTGCTGGTGTGGTGGTAATGGTGGCAAATGAGGTGTTTGTTGTAGCTGCTGGTGCTGCTGCTGCTGCTGCTGCTGTTGTTGAAGGTATTGACGTTGCATTGGCAATGGTGATGTTGGCAAGCCGGCAGGATTAAATAAAGCCCCAGCAGAAGAACTACTGGGCATTGGCCCCGAAGTTGTCGACGATAAGGCCGATGCTGCTGTTGTTGATGATGATGGGACATTACTTTGGCCTAGATGTCTTAGACTTCCCAAAGGGGGTAATGGAGGTGGTGTGTTTGAACTTGCCGATGGTCCACCAACAGAACCTGCCGTTGCTGCCGCCGCTGAACTTGGTGAAAAATGACGCGGTAATGTTGGTATTTTTTGTAGGTACGACACCTGTGTAAGTGGCGTTCGACTGATTGGTCTGCAAGTAGAATGGGGAGAGAGGAGAAAAAATGAAATAAATTAAAATTGAGCAAAAAATGTACAAAAGATTAATGAAGGTCAGATAGCAAAAAAAAAAAAAAAAATGCTCCTTGCTATATTCTCAATATTTCCACAATATGAAAGGAAAATTATTGAGTGTGCAAGTATTTTAGGGTTAGACCGTAACAAATCGAAAGTTAATTAAATTGTAAACGTGAGCATTTTGCTTAACTATTGCGGCGGACATTGTGGTCAGTCTCTGAATATTGACTAGTTAGATGGGCTCCTTGCTGTGGGGCTAGTTATTGGTGGTACTTTAATACCTTGTGAGTGCAAATGGAATATTGCAGGGATTAATTTGATGTATTACAACTTAGGAATGTATAAAAAATGATTTATTACTTGGGTGTCCATGCTTGCATATTCAATTTTATTTGATATTTTCAAAACTATTTTCTCTTAAACAATAACATCCCACAAGAGATCAATTTAGGTAGCAGGAAAATTCTTTATTTTTTTTTTTTTCAAAATGAAAAACAAGGCTTGTAACTCTTTGAAGAGTTCTTCTAACGAAGCCTGCATGTATTATTTGCGACAGATGCCATTAAAACTTTTAGAAGCCGAACTTTCCACTACTCATAGAAATTTCATGTTTGCGCACATACAATCTAACTATAAAATATTTAGTAAAACTTATAATGTAATGTAGACCTAAAACAAAAGAAGGAGACACGTGTATCGCTGTTTTAAAAGTTTCCAATAAAAATTAACCAAAAAGATACACCTTGCATCTAAATCGTAATTTTATGTCGCTTTAGGCTTCAACTCTAAAAAAAATCCAATATAAAATTGATCATAACATGAGGGAATATTTCGGAGATTTTTTTTTGGAAACATTGATATACATATTTATACCCTACAACACTATGTGTTGGGGGTATTAAAAGTTTGATTAGGCCAGAATTTATGTAACACCTCGATATATTGGTTTCCCATATAGGAAAGTATATATGGATTTTCCTAGCTCGCCGAGCTGAGTCGATCTAGCTATGTATGTCCGTCTGTCCGTCTGTCCATGTTAATTTGTAATGACGCTACAGGTCGCAATTATGGCCCGATCCTTACGAAATTTTGCACGAAGGCGGGGTTATGGTCAGAATAGAAGCCCATTTCTTTGGAGATGATCGCCAAATGTTTAGGTGTTGAAATGGACCAAATACTGAAAAAATGTCGGATTTTGCAGTAGCTACACAGGTCGCAATTATAGACCAATCGACGGAATTTCGCATGTAGCTAGAGTTTAGGGCGGGGAAGAAGCCTACCAAATTGGGTGGTCATCGGATAATATTTAGCGGTAAAATAGACCATATATTTTGTGTTGAAAAAATTCAAAATTTTTCATTAAACCGCGAATATTTTAAATCCCGGCGAAATCACAAAGTCATGACAAGGTTACTTCTGACCTTTACATTGATGTTAACATCCAACAAATCGGATATATAGCAAAATATGTGCGATATATATGTCTATCAAAGAAGATATGCTTGAAAGATCTCTTATATGTCGAGAACGGCTCATATTTTTTCAATTTTGTCATATTTATTTTGGCATATTTTCATTTTGAATTAAACATTTGGTAATATTTCTACAGCTAACAAAACTAAGTACTTAGGATATCAGGATATCATATACAGATCGCATTTATGGCCCGATCCTTACAAAATTTTGCATGGGGATAAGATGAGATGGCCATCCAAAAATATTTAATGTGTGAAATAGTTTGCCAACTTTTGCAGACAAAGTACGAAAATGTTCATTCCGGTGACTTTTTTGAAAATCTCAAATACAGGAAAGACGCACTTCTGACTATTTTTTTTAACGCTGATTTCGTTGAAGATTATAGTCAAATGTCTGTATCTCGTCGTAGATGCGTTTCAGTCAAAAACCAATAATAAATGTTAATCTTTTGCCACTTCTAAGAGATTATAGGTCTTTGGGAAATATTGGTTCCAGATCTAGGAAGACCATTTACGTGCAACATCTACCAATAAATTGGAAATGAGCAAATTAGTTTAAGTTGCTATTATTCGAAAATTAGAGAACGAACCTGATGGTTTTCTTTTATTATTTGTCACAATATCTCGTGGAATTCTTTCGAGTATCTCGCCTATATAAACTTTACCGTTTATTATAGTGTTGTAGGGTATTCAACGGTCGGCCCCGCTCGACTGTAGCCTTTGCTTACTTGTTTTTTATATACAGTGGATTTAAATATTTCTTTTCTATGATGACTTATGGTAAAATTTGATGAAAAATATTTTTGTCTTTGAGGTCCCCAAAATGTGTTTTTAATTTACATGAATCCCTGGCGTTTAGGTAAGTTGTAGACTTTCAATGTCTTTCAGGACCTATAGTAGAATTTTATGGTATATAAATTTGTGAAAGTAGTGGCCGAAAATGGTCCGTGAGCATTATTCCATTCGCCAAATATTGAAATTCCAAAAAGTGGAAGAACTTGGACCGGAAGGAAATTGACTCAAAAGAGCAAAGGAGTTGCCTCGCTTGGCCGAAAGTGGTGAACTGCCTAATTTGGTTTTCTCCGGGCACCAGAACTCATGCGCCGGCCATGGTGATGGTGTGAGCCGCCATAACAGTCGATGGTCGCTCTCCGCTCGTATTATTCGACCGTGAAATCAGAATAATTTTTTTTTTTTTTTCGATCGGTCCCAACGCCACACTCACCCGCCCCTGCCGACCGAGGGGGCCACCTCCCAATTACGTAGGGAGCGCGTACACCCCATAGTCCGAACTATGGAGGGTTAGTGCGTTAGGGAAACCAGCTACAGTTATACATCAGCCGGTTGTTTAAATTCACAAATAAAGACAACACACAGGAAATAAAACAACATATAACAGATAAGAGTAGAGAATCTGGCAACTACTTGCTTTAATACTAAAGATGTAAAATAGTGTGTTTAATGACATGCAAAGGGTCTGTCAATGATATCTCGTTATATAATTTGTTGTAGATATCACATAAAGATTGCTGAATATTATCGCGAAAATATTCTGGAGGGTGTATTAAAGCCTTGGGCACGCAAACGTTTTGGCCGCAGACCTTGGACATTCCAACAGGACTCAGCACGCGCCACCCAAGAATGGTTACTAAATGAGGTCCCGCGCTTCATTTCCAGCGCACAATGGCCACCAAAATCTCCGGATACCAATCCGTTGGACTTTGTGTCTTGAATATTTTGGAAAGCAAGGTTGGCAAATACCAAAGTGTCGATCGCTTCGAGCAAGCGCTTCACCAGCAATGGGCCAAAATACCGCAGAGCAACATTCGTGCAGCGTGTGACGGTTTCAGTGGCCATTTGAAGGCCATAATTCGCGCCAAAGGTGACCATTTCGGACAAATCTAAACTTATTCTAAAATTTGATGGTATTTCCGACATTTTTGATTTCATTCAATAAAATTAAAAAAAAAAAAAACGTAAAATTTATGGCGTTTGACTATGTTGCAGTTTTTTTTATCTCACCCTGTATTTATCCATGTAATTAAAAAAATTGACATTTCGGTCGGGGTTCTGGGCTAATCACTATTGCCATTTGAAAATACTAAATTAAATAGTAATATTTCCTTTTTTACTGCAATTCGTAATGGAGAATATTAAAGGAAGACTCAATTTCAAAACAGGATAGATACGAGAATTTCAAACTGAATTTCTCAATTTCATATAGCAACTTCTAAATTACACTAAAATATAACAGAAGCCTACTGTGAATTGGCAACACGGGAAATTCCAAAATACTTCGTTAACTGCGGGCAACTTAGAAACATAAAATGTTGTGGCGGAAAATCCCTCCTATGGCAATTATTTGCATGCATTTTCAATTTCTACAACATACAATGTTGCCAATACAACAAAGACAATGCTCCATTTTGGAGAGACATGCAATTCCAATGTCCACCAATGGTTCTGGTCTCTTCCCTCAGCTTTAAGTCATAATCTATGGGAGTTGGTATTGTTTATTGTCTGATTCCCGCTGCCATGGACAGGGATCTAGTTTTTCACAATAACGAAGGCTGGCCATGTTGTATGCCCACTCTTTAATGATATGGTGTTCATTCCGAGAGTATTTTTGGCGGTGGCCAGCCACGGACGGCATAAGCTTTTGTTTTTCTACTTCGCCGAACATTTTGATGTGTCAATATTGTTACAGGCGGTTTTTGTTGTGGCTACAAAAACAATTAAGTTCGAATAGGAAAGAGTCTTTTTTTGTTGTTTTGTTTAGTTTAGTTATGGCGACAGCATAGAAAGTCCCAAAATAAAAACGAAAACTCAACCGTGGCGAAAATCGACAACTACAATGGACAATGTTGTGAAATCACAACAGGAATTCTACAATGAAATAACCACAAATTGAAATTTAACCATTTTAATTGGTTTCGAACTCAGGTGTGGACTGGTGAACACACTCGTCCAATGATAACAGGATCAACTAAATTAGTGCAACATTTGTTTCAAAATTTTATTAGAAAATAAAGCATATTGAATTTAATGGGATTTTTATTTAATAATTAAGTGCATACAAAACCAAATTGTGGTCATTTTAAATAAGGAAATTTGGAAAATGCAGAACTATATTATGGTTAAAGAAGATACCACTTTCAACCTCAAATGATTGGTTTCCTTACTTAGTTATTATTATTTATTTTAATTTTTTTTTATTCTAAATATAGTCGGGTACCTTAATTAGCAAATGCCTATTACATTAAATGCGCGTAGAAGTATTTATATTAAGTGCATTTTTTTGTAACCCTTTTACACCAAAATAGAGTGAATTGTACCCGATTATTTCTCTGGAAAGTTATAGCTTGAAAGACTTATTTCAAAAAGAATCATAAAAAAATCTTTATATATGATATATTCATGGTGTTCTGTTATATAAATTTCTAAAAATGGACACATACGTATATTTAGTTCATTTGTAAAA